GCAACTCATCAACGATTAGCATTTTAGCTAAGGCTTTCCTAATTATGTCTTGGTTGAACTCCCACAGCTTAGGTATTGTTACAGTTTCAACAGAACCATCATCACTTGCATGTGTTTTGGACTCGAGATCGATAAGCTTTTGTTTCTTATCAATATTTGATTGGTATTTTTTGCAACTCAAGACATGATTTTTCAGAGGGGAAGTACCATATACAGTTGCACAACCGATCCTACGTTGACAATGTATACACTCTGCAATATCTGGAATGCCTGTATCTTGAAAGTGACCCCACCAAATAGATTTTCTTTTCCTCACATGTATAGAAGGGGATTCACTTGCAGAAGGAGCACGAGGTGGTTTTTTAACCTTTTTCGGGTTTGAGGTCTTTTTGTTTTGTTTCTCTTTCCCTTTGTCATTAGTCGTCACCTCGTTTTCAGATACAAATTCGCATTCTGAGCTAACTTCATCAACAATTTCCATTGCGAAAAACCTGAAATAATACATGTTATTGAAGTTGAAAACATAAACACTAAATATGGTTTAAAATGGCAGCTTTTGAAAAATGAAAGCTGTTATGATGATGTAATCGAGACCAATAGACAATAACATACTAACTAATTAGTGATTAGTAATTACCTTTAGGTTTACCGGTCGGCACTCGGAATCAACGGTAATTAGGAACGAGGACGTGAAATCTTGAGCGAGTGAATGGTGACCTTAACTGTGGTTGTTAGACTTGGGTGGACTTCGGTGAATGTCGCCAACCGGTGCTCGAGCCTTGAATCGATTGAGCAACTTCAGAGTTAAGAAGTGCAAGAACTTGATATTAGAAGAGTGGAGGCTGGAGAGTGGAGACTAAACCCTAAAACGTCGATAACTTTCTTTCATAACCAGATAACCCCATCGACTATCGTACCCCTTTTTAATTTTTGAGTTTTATTATTACTTTTTATGATAATATTTATTATTATTTACCCTATTTAAAACAATAAAAATATCAAATTTGTATTTATACTTCGGATTTCGAATTATCCGAAAACCCGAAAATCCTCAATATCAATATCCGAATCCGTATCCGGAATTTCGGATATCCGAATTTCGGATATCCGATAAATCGGGTATCCGGTTTTCCGGATATTTTCGGATCGGGTTTTTCGGTTTTCGGATCGGTTTTCCCGGATACGGATATTTTTGAGCGCCCCTAAAGATAGCTCACTATCAAGCTACAAGAGCTTTTTCATATTTTAAAAATGTTAAAATGGATAAACCATGCCTAATTATTATTATTATTATTATTATTATTTTTTTGTATAGAGTTTAGGTAAAAGTTTCTAGAAAATTACACAATTTTATTTGTTGTTAAAATAAATTTCAAACTCCAGGCGCTTAAATATAAATTTATAATTTTATTACGTAACAAAATACTCGATAACAATAATTTTTAAAATCACTCAAGTCGTACTTCGTTTTCTATCAAACAGTTGACTTTCATTCAAGATAAACTCGAGGAATTGCCATAAAATGATACCTCAATCCGTGCTCACCTCGCAAACCTGAAATCAACCTCTGTTCTTGTGAGATGGAGCTCTCTATTCACGACTATGGTTATGTGAAAAACCTATCTTCTTCATTGCAATATTCGCCCACCAACTGTTTGACGAAATTCCTGAACGAACGCCAACACCCTTTCTCAAACCCATCGTCTTCGCTTATCACAGCGGCCAAGAAGAAGTCTCCCGTTCCTTCTTCGAAAGGTATCCAAAAGTCCACCGACAAACACTTGTCTCATATTCTGAGGTCAGAGGCTGCCATCGAAGCAATTGAGAGAAAAGCCAATTCCACCTCTGTCAAGCGTAACCGCTTTTCTCCTAAACTTCTTTTGGAAGCTTTGGACAACGCTATCAGCCATAGACGCTGGGAATCTGCTCTTAAGGTTCGTTGGATTTTCTATATGCCACTTTAATTGCAAGTCGTTGACTTAAACCTAATCAATCTGTAACGTTTTTGTCATTGAATCTACACTGATTGTGTCTAGATATTCGATCTTCTTCGTAATCAACACTGGTATGAACCAAGATGCCAAACGTACACAAAGCTACTAGTAATGCTCGCGAAATGCAAGCAACCCATGAAAGCAAGCTATCTTATCGAGGTCATGTTGCAGGATGGGCTCAAACCCACCATTGACGTTTACACAGCCCTCGTTAGTGCTTATGGCTACTCTGGTCTCCTTGAAAAAGCCCTAGAAATCATCGATGATATGAAATTAATCCTCGATTGCAAACCCGATGTTTACACCTACTCAATCTTAATCAACTCTTGCACTAAACATCGCAGATTTGATATGATTGAACATATTCTTGCTGACATGTCATATTTAGGAATCAAATGCAGCATTGTCACATATAACACCATAATTGATGGATATGGAAAGGCTGGATTGTTTAAAGAAATGGAGAATATGTTAACAGAGATGCTTGAAGAAGATGAAACTTGTCTTCCAGATTCTTTCACATGTAATTCAGTTCTTGATGCGTATGGAAATTCAGGGATGATTTCAGAAATGGAAAAATGGTTTGATGAATTCCAACTAATGGGGATAAAACCAAATGTGATGACATTTAATATTTTGATTAAATCATATGGGAAAGCAAAGATGTATGACAAAATGGGGTATGTAATCGACTATATGACAAAAAGATTTATTCCTCCAACTACAATTACATTCAATATAATTATCGATACATTCAAAAGGATTGGAGATATTGAGAAAATGGAAGAGTTTTTTATAAAAATGAAGCATGTAGGAATGAAGCCTAATGCAGTTACTTATTGTTCACTTGTGAGTGCTTATGGGAAAGCCAGACTTTTGCATAAGATTGATTCGATTATGAGGCAAATTGAAAATTCTGATGTGATTCTTGATACGACTTTTTTTAATAGTGTTATTAGTGTTTATGGACATGTGGGTGATGTGAAAAAAATGAATGAAATATTTTTGGCTATGAAGGATAAAGATTGTGAACCTGATAGTATCACTTTTGCTACCATGATACATGCTTATAAAACCATGGGAATGATGGAAGCTGCTCAAGATTTGGAGAAAAAAATCATTAAGGTTGAATATAATTTAGGTACTTCCAAATTACCTGTGAAAATTTGTAGTTATTTGTTACTTTGTTGTGAAATCATTGATATGTTGTGTCTTATTGTTTAGATTCAAGGACAAGGTTGATTGAGGGGTAGAATGGTCAATTCTAATATGGATGAGATGCGGTCAAATATGCAAGGCATGATAAAATCATGTCCGATTGATGCATTGCAAACTAACATATCATGTATATGCCTTTCAAGTGCTTACAGATTGAGTTCAATGTTGAATTGGAAGTTGTTGACCAGTTGTTGACCATGGAGGGAGTTGCAAGAAAGAGGGAAGACCATTGTTTTGAGGGATATCTTGGATTATACAAGAGATTTCTAAAGTTAGAAAGCACGATTCTTAGGGGGGCCTACGTGTTAGAATTGTATCTATGTTTTGTGGCCTTAGGACCATTTCTGTAAGTATTTTGTATTAGTGGTATATTTAGGATTTATACCATGTAGTATGCCATGATGACATAAGTGGTCCTTTAACTTATGGGAGATGTTGCTTGATGGAAGTGACTATGTTTAATTTAGAAATGTGGTTATTTCCTTTTAGATGTCGTAAATGTGTAAAGACACGGACTATTGTTCTCTCTCACATAACACGATAAGTCAGTGTTATGATCTAACCATTAAGAATATCGGCATCTTAACAGGAATACAAAGTCGATAAGGAATCACTAACCATGACATCATCATCTTCAAACGTTCTTATGAAGATTGGATTCCCTCTAAGCATGTTTTAGTGTTCTATATGTTAAACGGAAGATTAGTGTGCATTGATTATAGATTAATTAAAATATTGTGTATAGATATTACATTTTTTATTTAGGGGAAGACCTTTCCGTCGCTCAGCATACCAAAAGCAAGCATAACAATGCTCATAGATTTGGTCACAATCATTGTTTTATTTATAGTGGGGAAATAAAAGAAAGGCAAAAAGTTTGGTTTACCATATCCTTATTGATTATCAATCCATGAGAATTTGTAGGGGGTGTTGAAGCATAACAGTTTGTACTTAAAAAGCAATCAAGATCCATGCCAATCCCATCTCTGTAATTTACTTCACTATTATTATTATTAACATCATCATTAATAGATAGGAATATTGGATGTTCATAATTATGATTAAGCCTTTTCTTTTTTTGTTGCATATTGTTGTGAAGCAAATTAGTCAAAGAACTAAATCGGCTTTTAATATAATGCAAAATCATAATGTCATAAGATCAAAGCATCAAGATATAGCAAAAACATATCAGTTAGTAAAGGAAAAAAGGGCAAGCTGAATAAGCAATGAAAAAAAACATCAAACATAATTAGAGGATACCTTTTCGAAATCCAAAGCTACGAAAAACAATTAAAGCCACAAATAAGATTGTAAGGAACCTGAAACAAATAACTAACGGCTAAGAAGGTAGACAGAGCCATTAAATGATTTACATAATGAAGCTAGGGAACATCATATTGCATTGGATGCAAGATGTCTAGAATTGTTCAGAGAATATGAAGACCAAGAGAAAAAAACAAATTGATGATCAGACAAAAAGACAAAAATACTTGTACCCAATCGAGCATAGCTTCATATTTATAAAAAACAATGGTATATTTTTTTGTATGTATTTTAAGTTAATTTAATTTCTATTTCTATAATTTTATTCCATGTGACTCAAGAACTTTTTCAATAATTGACCATTTTCAAACCGATAAATTTTGTTAACTTCATCAAAATTGAAATTCGCATAATGATAGATTCTGCTAACCTGGTTGAGGCGTTATAAAATAATGTTTGGAAATAAATTTGGAAGGTTCGATGTTTCTAAAACATGACAAAATCTAATTAGTTATATATAAATGTAGTTTTTTATGCAAACCAAATCTAATGAGTGCTCAAAGAAACATATTAATCAAAATTTAATTATAAAACTATAAAAAAAATTATATGGTTCTTTTGTGTAGGTTATAGACAGTTTATAGGGAAATTCTATTAAAATAAGAGGTGAAAATAGCTACAATTTGGCAAAAATAGTCGATTCCTTCATCATAAAAGACTTTAGACTTATGCCTTTTTTACTTGCAAATACAAAGGTTCTTAGATATGCATTTTATAATTAGAGGATAAGAAGTCTATATAAGGAAGTATAAAGAGACTTGGGACCAGGAATAGAAAGCGCAAAACCAACTCCTTTGCATAAACCATGTATCCATTTAATGGAGTTTTCTTTATATTATTTAACTGTATATATAAACTCATATAAAGTTGGGGCCACTCAGGTCGCCCCTAGCTGTATTGGATTTGAGTTTTTTTTATCTCATCTTCAAACTGGATTTCAGAAATACGGAGAGAAGAAGAAATGTGTAACCAAATGTCAGAAATACGGATTTGAGTTTTTGTTTATCTCATCTTAAAGTTGTTGGTTTTTTTTACTGAATTTGTTTATTGCAGGTCGACTTTTACTCAAGCCTTAATTTATAGAATCAGTAGAATCCATGGAAACTTTAGCCCTAATTTATGGCCATGGATTTTTTTTTTCTGCCATACCAACACAAAATTTAGAGATGGGAAATAGAAGGGAACGCAGATGATCAAAAAAATATTTGAGGAAGATGAAAACGATGTAAAAGAATGTGATAATGAGTTTTCCACACCAAGAGGCATGGAGGTTATCTCATATATATAGTCAATAAAGATACATATACACCCCTCAAGTATACAACAAAGAATAAATTACTATACAAATAAATAGCTAGACTAATATCATTATCCCCTCTCAAGCGGGAGGAGGTGGACCGAGACGAAGCATGCGACGGAACTGCTCAAACTGTGTAGACTCTTAGTGAAGATGTCAGTGACTTGAAGCTTGGTAGGAACAAACATAGTGACCACCGACCAGTTTGCCTGAAGCGACGAGCTCTCGAACAAAATGATAGTCAAGATCAATATGCTTAGCACGCTTATAAGCCACTGGGTTCTGGGTGAGAAATAACGCACTTGATTGTCACAGAGAAGCGTGGGGCGATCGGTGGGCAAAGCATGCAGCTGTTGCAACAAATGAGTGATCCAGATGATTTATGCAGCCGTATTAGCCATGGCTCGATATTCAGACTCACAGCTGGAGCGAGAGATAGTAGGCTGCTTCTTCGCACTCCAGGAGACAAGATTACCCCCCAAGAATATCGAGTACCCATAGGTGGGGTGGCGAGTCTCAAGGCAGCGAGCCCAATCAGCATCAGAGTAGCCAACAAGCTTGATATCCGGAGGTCGTGAGAAAGTGAGACCAAACGAGAGGGTGCCCTTGACATAACAAATTAGTCGTTTAACAGCTTGAAAACGAGCAATCGTCGGGGCAGCAAGAAACTGGCTAACTTGATTAACGGCGTAAGAGATATCCGGTCTCGTAATCATCAAATATTGTAGTGCACCAACCAAGGACCGATAGAGAGTCGGATCCTCATGAAGAGGACCACCACTAACAATAGAGGTGTTGGTAGCAAGGAGGGTCGGCATAGGCTTAGCATCGAGAAGACCGGCGCGTGAGACGATGTCGTGAGCATACTTTGCTTGACTGAGAAACAAGTCGGTGGAATGATGAGTAGCCTCAAGTCCAAGAAAATAGTTCAACCGCCCAAGATCCTTAATTCGAATTTTACGTGCAGCCGAGCAATGAAGGACGACACAACTGCATCACTCGAGCCAGTAATAATAAAATCATCAACATACACTAACAAATACAAGATACACGAGTCCTGGCGAAACACAAAAAGAGAGGGATCCGCACGACTGTTGGAAAAACCTTGTTGCATCAAAAACGAACTGAGCCGATGAAACCACGCACGAGGATCCTGTTTAAGCCCATAAATAGCTTTATTTAGCTTGCAAACATAATCAGGATAACGGGCATCCGCAAACCCAGGGGGTTGAATCATAAAAACAGTGTTACCCAAATGTCCGTGGATAAAGGCGTTATTGACGTCAAGTTGACGCAACCGCCACCCGTTGACAATCGCAAGAGTGAGAACAATACGAACGGTGGCCACCTTGACAACAAGACTGAAGGTGTGAGAAAAATCAAGCCGCAGAACTTGACTAAATCCTTGAGCAACGAGCTGAGCCTTGTGACGCTCCACAGTCCCATCGGCCCGGTGTTTGGTGCGAAACAACCACCTGCAACCCATAATATTGGCCTGGGTAGGACGAGGAACGAGAGTCCACGTCTAATTATGATGAAAAGCCGCCGTCTCAGAACACATCGCTTCACACCATTTAGGATCACGCAAGCCAGTGGCATAGGATGAGGGAATATCTGCAGAAAAGACCTGCAAAAACAAGCCATGAGAAGTGAGATGTGCCAAGTTAGAACGGTAACGTGGCTTAAAAATCCTGGCTTTGGCGCGAATGATCATCAGATGCGAAGGAGGAGGCGGATAGGAGGCCGTAGGCGGATCAGGCTCGGAACCCGGTTGCAGAGCAAAATCAGACAGCAACCCAGACTCGGAGTCAGACCCGGAGGTGGTAACCGAAGCTGAATCAGTGGACGGTTCGGAGTCAGACCCGGAAGGCGACCCGGTCTCGGGTCCCGGCGAGGCAGCAGTAGGGAACTCAGAAGCAGGAGTCGTTACCGAGGGAGCCGGCGGATCCGGTTCAGCACACACAACGCAAGGAGCATGGGCGGCGGGTCTTGATTGAGCACTTGGAGAGGCCGGGAGCCTGGGACAACGTTTTCATGGATTGGACCGGCAGGGAGCTGATCACCAAGGAATGTGTGCAAGCAGAGGCGGAGCCAATACGAGGGCTAGCAGGTGTGCTGCCCCCTCCAACTTCTCTTATTTGATATAAATAAATATTAATTATAAACACATATTGTTTTAAGCCCATAATAAAAATGAATTTCAAGCCCACTGGCCACCCTTTAGCTAGCCCAATTTATTTGATATTGTGTTGCACGATTACAAATAACAAATATATTATTTGCAACAATTATCAATCGGCAGACGACGAATCTTGCTTGCAATTTACAAATCATCGGCAAAGTAAAGGAAGTACTGCAAATATAGTATTTAATTATTCATCACAATTACCTATTTAAATTGATCGACATGAACTCTCAAAAGGTAATTTCCCCTTTTATTAGTTAATACATACTCTATTTATGTTCTTTTTTGTAATTTCTAGTTAATATTTTTTTAGCAGTATAATTTGTAATTAATGATAGTATTATGATTGGTCAATTGGTTTCTTAATTCTTATAATCATAGGGTAAATCATGAGAAAAAAAACTATAGATTCTTTTTTCAAACAAAGAAGACAGTAATTACCGACAACCATATTTTGTTAGGGAGAATATTAGACATTTTTTTTTCTTTATCATA